AGCTGGGCCAGCTGTGCTGAAAGTCGCCGTTTTTGGTCTTTGTCCTAGTTGGTGATGGCGTCTTCCAGGATGTCGACGTTTGCAAGAGCAAGACATTCAATCATGCTGCATCCCTCCGGGCGTTCCTGGAGAGGGATCGGCACTGAATCGTCGTAAGGACGCACCATGGGTACTTTTCAATTGAATCAAAGGATCTTCTATACTTGAAGCGATGCTGAAGCTAGCCCGGTCTATGTACTTCATGTCTGAATAGCCTCGTATACGTACGCCCGAAGCTACTGTATGCCAGTCTGCCATTCTTCTTGGGCGTCTGCATCATATTGCATCACTTCATCCGCACGCTTGATCTCCACAGTCTCCGCCGAATTCGTCTCAGAGGGCTGTTTCCCTCACAGGTCTTAGCTCAGCCCTTTCGCTCTGCAATGCAAACACGTCGCCGCCCGCCGAGACACCTCCACTCCTTTGCCCTACGACGAGGACCGCCCGCCATGCGCCACAGTGACACGGAGAGACAGAAAGGGCTCGACGGATGCTGACGGAAAGGGGTGGTCCATGGCCACGAACATCCACGAACGACACGAAACAGGCACAGACCAGAGACTGGAAAGAACATGAAAGCACCACTAATTACTGTCACTATAGTGTTACAGTGGTTTTGCACAGGGTAGCTGCGGATCCATGATCATCCCGGCAAAGACCAAGAATTCAGCGGAATGGGTTACATTGAATAACTAGCTGGTCGTTCCCATCGAGTGCCGCCAGCACCAGCATCGCTCCAGGAGGAGATGCTCAAGCCGCCACCCCCGCCGCCGGATGCCATCGAGTTGATCCGGAACCTGGAGGTAACTGCTCGATGCGATACCTCCGATATCCTTGCGCTGGTGAGTTAGGACTCGCCAAGATCAGGGGCGAAGATACCTTTTTAGTATGCAAGTTGTACATTGTTGCGACACTAAAAAGAACTACAGTAGATAAAACTGACTCCCTCTTCAGCGTATACCTATGGCCCTATGGTATAAAATTGTATTATATATATTTTAATATGGTAGAATCAGTGTCCTCTATAGAGCGTTGATCAAGCGTTCGACGGGTGCAGGTGGGTCGTGCAGTGAAGCTGGATCACCAGGCGGGGTGGAGTTCGCGTGGGACCTGGGGATCTCGGCGGAGGAAACATCTTTCCCCAGTAATCCATGGGACTGGCATATTGACGTCGTATTTACGCAGTATTTACGTAGTATGTTGCAATTGACATCGGATTTCATAACAACAGTGGTTTTCTTTATGTGAAAAGATATATAGGAAGCCAATAAGCCAATTGGCAGTGGTTTTACCCTTGGGATCATGGAAGGTTGCTGTGGTTTTCTTGGGAACACTGTTGGGTGATTTGTGCATCCGCTCTGGTCTTTCTCCTCTGCCTGGAGGGAGATGCAGTCTCCAAGCACCGGCCGACGCTTGGACCGGGTCGATCTCCGTCGCCCGGGCGACTTCCTTCGGGTCCGAGGGACCGAAGGGGTTTCAGTCCGCAGGATCTCGTCTTTGGGTCCTGAGACCAAGAAGTCAGACCAGGCTTTGGGAGACTTCTACAGATCTTCCATGATCTACCAGTTTGCAGTCATGCAGCTGGTGTCACATGTGGGCCATACCATTTGGGAGCGTCGCAACTGCTGGGCATCGTAGCCATCGGTCGCAAGTGCCCAGGGTGGCGAGGAGGATCTTCCACAGAAGTCCCAACAGCCCAGTGGGAGTGGAGGGCGATGGAGGGTCCGGCCTCCCGCTGTGATGCGAGAGTTTGCACACACAGAATATGAATGCACTTACAGCATCTTACAGCTGGCAGATGCTGTATCTTTTGGATTTGGGGACAATCAAAGAAGGCCCAATAGTATCCTAGTGCAGGCATCAAGCTTTGTTGCAGGAGTTCACTTCCTCCCAGGCAAACATCAACCGTTGGGGTAGTGCAGGACATGTTGGGAGAATTTGTGTATCAGTTCTTCTCTAGCAGTAAACCTGTGAGAAAGCTGAGGGAAGAATTATTCCAGGTGCCCAGTCGCATCGTGGTTCACGTTCGTTCGCAGTCCGGCAGTCCGGTGCGGACGCATGCTCACAGTGTTGGTCAAGGCAGCCATCATCCCAGACGCATGGACCATATGAGAGTAAGGCCAAACCAAGATCCCGACAAATGGGATACAGTACCTCATTTATCCTCATTTCATGATCATGCCTGAAGGATCCTGAAGGTATTTGAGACTTTGCATGGTATGCTGCCAAGACTCAAGTATCGTCAAGTATGGCCAAGACTCTCTTACTCAAGTCTTATTGGTCAAATCTGCCCAGACTCTAAAAAAAGGGGTGATCAGTGATGAGATCTTGTCAAATCTTTCCAAATCTCCGGGTTTTGAGTCACTGCTCCCAGAAACCCTGGACACCGCACTGGTGCTCACCGATCCCCACACTTTCAGTGTCTTTCAGTGCTTTCCGTAAAATCCGATGAAGGTCGACTCTGGAAGAATCAAACCATATTAATCCCCACAGGCCTGAAGAGGTTTCACAATCCACGTTAGGGGGTACGTTTTTTTAGTGACTGTTTATATTTAGGGGGGGTTCACCATGGAGATGTATCCACCTGGTCGGTTCTCGTTCTCAATATAAGGGAGGGATTCAAATCCTTTTTTGGACGTGCATCAACGGTCCAGTAGAACGGTTCCAACAATGGAACATCCTGGTCGGTTCTTAATCCTTGATCATTCTACATTGAAGTAGAACGTTCATCAACGGTCCACCTACGGTCTACCTTCGGAGAGTTGGTCCGCAGACTGCGGACCCAGTTCGACCGGCCGGTCGTTCGGTCGTCCGAGGGCGGTCAGTGAGGGCCCCGCGCCCAATGCCGCATGAGCGGACGCCAGCGGCGACGCCACACGCGAGTCCAGCAGATAGCTTGATCCTGCCAAGAAACTAAGATGGTACCATGTGGTACCCCATAGATGAGGAAGATGATGTTCCATGCCATTCCACGCCCACGCGCTTTCAGTTTCCATGTTTGTTTAGCGGCTTTGGCAGAGAGGATTCCCGTTTTGGGAGTTTGGTTGCTAAAGGCACATGAGAAGGGTTTGCGGCAAAGGCAGAACACAAAAACTCTCAGTACAGTAGTATATGTAACATTTATATATATTATATACTGTTCTACCCACTAAATTATACTACTGCGTTTTATTGAACGTCGTTTAGACCCCCTGCGAGGGGCATCTATAGATGGCATTATCCTGTTTATGCGCTCCTTACAGGGTACAAACATGTCAAGCGACGCTGGAGTTGGAGAACATTAATTGACAGGATGGCTGTTCTTTTGATTGTGATATACAGCAGTAGAATAAGACGGCGGTGTGTCTTTATTTATGCTGACTTGAATGAGTATCATTAGTATAGCTTGTAATTATCATGATAATATATATTATATACATATTTAAATAACATAAAGTAACTATGTAGCTGTATCAAGAACCATACCGAACACATATTTCCCAAGCTTCCACCTAGTCCTCCTTTAGCCACACCCCCTCCACCCCTCCACCCCTCGGCCAAAACGGCCACGGCCAAAGGGCCACACGCGCGGATCGGCCGTATGAAGACCGTACGGACTGAGACCGCGATCGATTCGCCCAAAGGGTGCGAAAGAAAAGAGGATGAACTGAACAGAGAGGGAGGGATGAGGCGGATGAGGGGTCAGGAATTCATCTAGAACATTCATGAGTTGCTGTTCGAAGCTTTTTGGTGGGTTGTACGGGCATTGGTATCATTGATGCGACGATGTGAATACACATGTATATACATAGGGTTTAGGGTTTCGGTTTATATATATATAATATTTTATATATCTTGGATGTTCTTAGTATGTGTTTGAAGCCTTGTCCTCATTGCTGGGACAGTCGGACAGTCTGCCTGTCTTGGCTTTTCCTTGTTGCTGTTTGGATGTACAAGTTTTGGAGTCCTCCCTGCTCGTACTTGAGGTGTCACACCTTGAATGTCACACCTTGAAAGCTCCTTGTCGGTTTGGAGATAGTGTTTCTGAGGAGCCATAAGCGAAGAAAAGGGGTCGGCCATCAAAGAAGTGAACTGCTGACAGTTCACCGGGAAAAAGAATGTGAGCTGATTTAGCGCTGAGTGGGTTTACCCCCAGATGACCCCAGGCATCCAAAACGTACTAAACCCTTACAATCTGCTGAGTTTGTCCCGCAAATGATCTCCTCCAAAAGATCATGAGGGGGCTCTTGGCAGCAGAAGACACGAGAACTTTCCAGGACCCATCAGGTTTTTCCTGATGACAAGAGCAGAAACCACACAGTTGGAGGTCCAGTGCTGAATTAAACGATGAAACTGCCTCCGCAAGTGAGACCAAGAATTCTGAGAGTCTTGCTAGTGAGCAGAAGTGTCCAGTTTAGCTGCGATTAGTGTTGCTTGATAGGCACCCTTTGGAATCTCCGAAAAGTGGTGACACACATTTTGTTCAGGGAACCACTTGCATATTGTATAGGGACTTGATTGGGATGTTTGTGTTTATTCTTCTCGAGTTGAAACACACAACTCAGGTTCTGCCTTCCAGAGTAGCTGGCCTGCATGCCACGCTGGATCAGATTCTGGCAAGAGAAGAGGCTAAAAAGTGGGCAGCCCCAACTTGATGCCATGCCAGTGCTGTTTTTGCGCTGGCAAAGTTCTTCCAGTGCCCCCAACAAATCATGATGTTGTATAACTCCCCCAAGATTGGGTGTTGGGTCAAGAACTTGACAAGTGTAGCTCCAAATTCAGATCAGCGAAGCTCGCAACACAAACTAACACGCAGTCACCATCAGTCACGACCTCGTACTTGTAGTAATAGACTCACAACAAAAACAGTGGAGCAACCTCTAAAGTATTGCATATAATTCTGTTTGATTCGTACTTTCGGCACCTTCTCTTCAGAATCGCTTGTGCCAGGATAGACCCAAAACACAAATAGAAAGGCTATCAATCCACCTGTCAACGGTTTTCCCGATCCGTGCCATGGATGATGCCAGCCACACCTTGCGACGATGGAGCTCGCGGGTTTCTGCGAAGATTGCGCTGCTTTGGCTGGACTTTTGGACGGTCTGACAGCATCCATGTGCCAGAGGTTGGCATATCCTGCCCCCGCCCACTGATGAATGCCAGACTGTTTCACCACAAGGGTTTGTTGGTGTTGAGTGTTGGTGTTATTTTCCAGTTCACAGATGTTACAATGTTGCAATACCTTTGGAAGTGAAACCGGCCATCAGACAAATGAGAAACAGTCGCAGCCAGATTCCCCTAAACAGATGTTCAGGTAGGGAAGCATGTTAAAAGGTGAACTGGGTGCAACTTGGATGTGTTTGCCCTATTGAAAATGAAACATAGTATTATTATGTATTCTTGCTTATCGCTCTCTAGGGAGCGACCAAGGGACATTTGAGTACAAAGAGAATCAGAAAGAGAGAGAGAGAGAGTCTTTGTTGTCTCCACCACAACATAGGGAAAAAATAGACACATGAAGATTCGGGTGGGAGCACGAAAAGTCAATTCTTCGGAACATGGAGATTCAATTGATTCAATGCTTTACCAAACTTGTTTTGGGCATGTGCGTTCTCTCAGACTATCACCTTCTCCATGAAAGCTTGGACGACATGCAAGAGGAGTGCCATTTTTAGGGGACGACCATTGGGGAGTTGGTCATGTATATATCCTCGACTCAAGAGGATGACAAAAAAAACACCCCAATTGGATTGAAGAACCTCTTGCCAAGCTGAATCCCAGACGAGGCCTCTTGTGCATGGTCTGCCAGTGCTCCCAGCCGACGCCAAGCTGCGGGAGGGCTTGCTGATCGGCGACGAGACGCTTGGAGCGGCGGAGCGGATCTAGTATGGGGACCCTGCTGTGGGAGGAAGAGATGATGCATCCTCACACAGCAGGGTCCCACAGCAGCTGAATGAGTCTGCAGAATCAGCTGAGATGAATGATCTCCCACAAATTGCAGAGTCGATTTTAGGTGGTGTTGACCAGCCACTCTGATTTGTTGATCTATATACACCCCCCAATTCGCAGCTGACAATCATAGATTCTAGTTTTGGTTGTTCCGGTTGATGTTCGGCATGACTCCCCAGTTCAACAAACTCACTTCTGAGAACACTTCCAACAATTGCACTTAGCCCCTGCACCCCCTCAGGAGCAAAACCCAAAGGCGATTGTCGCTGTAAACTAACACTGGGGATTTTGGCATGGGGCTCAAAAAACTATTATAAATATATATACTGAATATGACCCATGATGCTGAATTCGCTAATCAACTAGAAGACCTATGCAGACACTAACGAACAGGGAACAAATTAAACTAGACTGAATTAATAAAGACGCTTCTTTGTCCCCCGCGTCCCCCGAAGGGATTGGGAGACACATGGCAAGGCCTCGGAGGAAGACTTCCTAGTACGTCGACAACCTATATCGAGCATTTTCCGAAATTCCTGCAGAGCCATCAAGACTTCAATGAAACCATGTTGATTCTGTTGTTTGATGACGTGCGCTGCGTGAGTGGGCGCGCTGCTTCTTCCTCATCCTCGAATGCCGAGGATCCTGGTCTTGGAAGCTCTCCAGCCTCGCACCCGGACCTTGACTGCCTCGAAGCGCCCACCCGCCGAGCTCACCAAGGGCTTTCAGGAGACTTTACCCAGAGCAATCAGCTTGAATGCTCAAAGTCCACGCGTGTTGCTTGCCACTCTGTGCCAGAAGCAAAGAAACATAGACCAGGGACCGTCCTTGAGATCCCAGTGGCGGGTTCGGTCCCAGTGGCGAGTCTCCAAAGAGGTCGTAGGTTTTTGTTTGGGACTGGGATGTTTGTTGGTTGGATGGGTATTCAATGCGGTTTGGTTGGATGGGTATCCTAAACCGCCCAATACGGGTTTGATTGGATGGGCATTCAATCTGCTTTGGTGCTGGGATGTGCCGTTGATTTGGGTGATGTTTGCTGAATTTTGGCCCCATCAATGCAGGTTTCTAGGTGGAGAGGACGGAGTTTTGAAGTATATAGCTCTGATAATTTTTAGTGTAGACTAACTGTGGATCTTGGGGAGAAATGTGCCAGTGTAAACGTTGGAGACTCCAGGGACACGGACTAGAAAGGCTTTGAAGACGGTCTTTAACCCGACCACCAAAGGTGCATTTTCCCTATCCACGTTACAGTATATATTTAAACATAGAACATGATCAATTGAGTCTGGATCACACACGTTTAACCAGGTGGTTTGTTGAAATCACCGTTGCTGTAGGTTCAGACTATGCTGTAGGTTCAGACTAGATGGCATGTTAATTTACAACGGGCATCCTTATATGACAGTCTGACTTAGGGTGCTGCTCAGGTCAGTCACTCCAAAAGCCCTCCTGTTTCTAAAGATAGGTTTGTCATGTTTCCCACCAAAGCAGCACTTTTATGAGTAAGCGCTCACCAGCAAAATCAGTTTTATGCTTTCTTTTGCAGGTCTCCCAAGGTTCGCGCGGCAAGAATTAACGTCACCACGGGAGAGGACTACAACATACTTCAAGCAAAACACAACAAATAAAGTAAACCAACAACAACAGGAAAGCCTCACACCAAAAGCAAAGCTCAACCCCCGGACCCCCCCCATAGTTAAAATATGACAAACCCCTCGCAGGCATGGCATTCAGGATCAAAACATATCACCAGAGTCCAATGGCCAGAGGATGACACCGTGAACGGCTTTGAGACCTTGGCCTTGGATTATCTCCTGCAAGGCAGGCAGAGCCGACAAAGGGTTGGAGTGGTTGGTGCCCTTGTAAGCGCCGAAGCAGGAAAGAGCCAGGTGTTAAAGCTTATGAGTTATTATTATGCTTTAATGTTTGCTCCTGTTCTAGTTGTAGAATGGGTCTACCATACAACAGGTCCTGGATTCCTGATCTTGGGTAAAGCCGCCATGCGCGCTGCGCTGAATGTCGACGCATCAAACATCCACCCTCCTCCATCCACACCACTCCACGCGGAGTTACTGCAGTCCGCCTTCCCAGGCATGTGGTCCAAGGCGCTCTACTCGAGCCGCCGCTCGACGCGCCGTGTGAAGAGCACAGCCCCGCGGCGCGAGGCACTGCTGCAGCGCTTGTGGAGACATCCCGTTGCTTGGAGCGACGGTTTGACGTGCGACAGAGCTGTCTGGGGAAGCGAGCTGTCTGTTGGCAAACTGACACTCTAAACAAAAAAAAACATAGAACCTGAAAACGGTATAAAACGGTGGAGGAAAAGAGTCAGACTCAGGGTGCCATTTTTCTCCCGGGTCCATGTGAGAAAACTCAGGAGTGAGCTCATGTTCGGTTCAGACAGACAGAACATGGTAGATTTGGGGTTCCTGACATGTACGTGGATCGAAGTTGACGGAACTCACATTTGCGAGTGGGCGAGAGGATGGGAATAGAGAGACTGTTGGAGCTTTGCAAATCAGAGAAACCCAGAAGTACCCGCTTTCCAGTCTGTTCATGTCGCGGGTACTCCGAGAACTCGTGGAACAAGTGGGGCGTGCGGATGTGTACGGTGGGCGATGCAAAAGAAATAGAATGAACTAGACTAGCTCGTCAAGATCCCCTATGTCTTAGACGTTCTCTTTTCCAAACACCAACCACATGTACAATGATCTACATCTGTCTAGTCTCCAATCATTTTGGTTCCCTTTTTCCAGCCACCGTATTGACCCCCTTCGCTGGCTCGAAACGAGCAGCTACTCAGCTACTCCGGTCCTTCCTCGGTCCTTCCTCGGTCCCGTGTCCTCGGTCGCTCCAGGTCTTGGGACCCATTCTGCAAATGCAGCGCCCTGGACGGGTCACCGGGGACGTGTCAGGGGGTCGGAGCTCGGTCCGTCCGGAGGTGCGGCGGATGCGTTTGCAGGCTGCCAGTGCCGGTCTCGGCCCCTTGAGGTTCTCAACATCGAGGTTCGCAACACAGAAGCAACACATGCTGGTCAGCGATCGGTTGGAGGTTTTTTCATCAGGCAGACCATGTCGACGGAGAAGCTGCGCGTGTGTCGCGCATGCATGTTGATGTTGGAGACGCATTTTTTGGAGTCGCGTCATCAAGTCAAGTGCGAGGTTCAGTCATGCTCAGTTGCTGGCAGATAACTGGATTGCTGTTGACCTCTTTTTGGAACAAATCCAGTCAAAGCCAGTCAAAGAGCAAATCCACCAGGCCCAATTAAATGAGCAAAATGAGCATTGGCAAATGAGCAAATCCAGTCAAGCATCAGCCCTCATAGAGTTATAGAATCACACAGGTTTTTTGGTCATGTCATGCTTCATCCTGCTTAGTTCCCCATGTTCCCCCAGGCCCCACAGGCTGTTGGAAGATGTCGACTCTTCGACCCCTTCGACCCATGCTCAGCTCCTGTTGCGAAGACCAAGGTTGGAGAACGTGAGCTTCACCATTCTTCCAGCTGAGGATCCCCAGGCCAGAGGTGATCCCGGACGAGACTGCTGTCTGATGAAGTGGGAACAGTTTGGAAGCCAAGACATCCGAACCATCCAAGGATGCATTTTTGGATTTGGAACACCCTTGGAGAGCTGAAGGAACCACCCAAAACCGGCCAACCTCGCAGTTGCAGGATTTTCCGCAGCTTTCCCAAGCTAAACCCCCGGTCCAGCCCGGCCGATCACACTCATTAGCAACTTGTGATTGACTCGAGCTCGCCACAGCATCACCTCAGGAGACTCACTTATGGCTCATGTCGCCCTCCGTGCTCCACCGCGCGGCGCTGGCCTCACCCTCGAATCTTCGATGCAGACTGGTCGACCGCCGCTAACGTGTTTTTGTCGTGCTCCCTGAAGCTACTGTAGTTTCCAGAGAGGGGATTGCCAGAATGGGCCATAATTAATTAATTAGATTCGGAAATCTCCACCCGATGCTTTAGGTGTACACGGTGCAGTGCACGGTGTCCCCCAAAATTGCAGAATGCAGAGAGCATGACACGACATGCGCAGTCGTGTTATCGGAATGTCCAGGATGGCTTCGGTCACATGTCCGGTCGGCTTGAGACGGTCCAATCCTTTGGCCTTCAATCCATCCCGACAACCTCAAGGATGGGGGATGGCTTCCATCCATCTCACGAAGCCGGGAAGTGACAACCTGGTTGTCCTGGTGAACTTATTCAGGAACTAAGGGGGTAACCACCGGGTCACTAAGCACCCCCCATAGAGATTTGCAGGTCTTCCAATCACCTCCACATCGCCATTCCCCCCAGATCGAGTCTTGTGTTCATGATTCAGGAACGCGGAGGTCCTCGAGTCCTTGGCCAAGGCCTTGCATTGGCATCCTTGGAGAGTGGGGAATGCCCAGAAAACCCAACAGCCTAAAGCGCGGACAGCGGTGCTGGAGAGTCGTTGGTAGAGCTGAGTATAAGGAGAGGAAGGGTTGAAAGAAAAAGAGGAACCATAATATACACACATATATTATATACACATAAATAATTTATATTTTATAAACAGTGTATATTATGTATGAATCATAGACAACTTGATCATTAACCCCAACATGAGAACATGCAATCTCACTAGGATTGCTTACATTCTTGAGTAAAATACCACCTGTGAGGTCCTGATGTGTCACGGAAAGGCAGGTCCAGGAACAAGGAACAGCATCAGGCTCCCACCTACTCGGGTGGGGGATTCATGTTTTTTTGATTTCGAATCGCTTCCAGTGTTGCCCAAGGTTTAAATAAGACATTTCTTCTTTCTCATCATGCGTTTTTGAGAATCAGGGACCCCCCGCAAATATAATGCGCGGGTCTTCCCATTGAGACAGACCTTGGCTCGCAAAGGATAGACCTGTCACATAGCAGATTGCAGACCCAAACCCAACTGCTCACCGAGCATATAGGTCGCCCAATCCGAAGATTGATCACTTCGAGACATCTGAACTGTGTGTGTTCGTTTGCGAACATCCAAGGTCATTTCTGGCTTTGATGCGCCTGACAGAGATGATTTCTACATGCCCAGTCATGATTCTTGGGGCAAGAAACGCCAAATGCGTCCGGTGACGTTGAGAAAGAAGAATCTATGGCGCCATGGGGATAGTATTTGGGGAGTGGATGGCCCTGTATGCCACCATAGCATCATGTGGTAGCGGAGATGGGAAAGCGATTGGTTCGACTTGGACCGATGGGACCGATGGGACCGATGGGACGGTGAAGTAAAGGGCGTAAAGGCCGGCCATTCTCTTCAAACCAGTGATGGGGCATATGAATTTATGAAGGTTTTGGTCGGAAACATCTTCCACATCATCCCTATATAGCCAATATGAAGTTCCCTCGAAGGTCAATTGACCAGAGGCATCCAGAGGCTAATTAGTTTTGCTGCATTATTTGCTGTTTTCCTCTACAAGACAGAAGATACCGTTTGATGTCAAGGTTTAGCCAATTCAATATAGATGAGACATGAAAAAAGAGGCCAAATGCGGTTTGGGGGGTTTTCTCGTCTCACGTGTACCACGTTGGTACACACACACACACACACATACTCACACACATATATATCTCGACCGTTGTTTATGATTCACCACACCGAATACACCAAACCCGGGACGATTCGGATCGCAAGGACTTGCGAAGCTGCCGGGACTTCTGCATCCGACATGGTTTCAGTGGCTTCTTTGTACAGAATGGCTATGCCTACTTCCGTCGCGGCCTGGCCAGTTCAGGAAGCGTTCTGAACGCTGACCATCGATGATCTACTCAGAGTCCTCGGAAGCACAACCCAAAAGATGTTCATGCAGAGTGTAAGGCTGCGTGTTTGATGCTTATGGGCCTCCCAAGCATGTATCGTCACATGTAGATAAGTAATTATATGATCTCCATTCTCTATGATCTCTCGCTTTTGAATACCGGACGAATTGTTCGAAAACACCGACTGTGCTTGGGTGGCATGGATCTCGGGATCCATTCTCTAGGCTTCATGTGAATTCATGTGAGTTTACCCGCCACCTAATGCACAAGCCACACAATTCATATGAATTGAACTGTTCCCCCTATCAAGACATGAATTGACTGAAAGAATTCTTGATATCCTTTGTTCAAAGGATGGTCCACACCTTTTCCAGCCCTGGCCTGGGACGATAGATAGTGAAGCTTTTCTCAATAGATTCAAACCTCTTGTCAATTTTCTGGAAAACAGTTATATGATTATGCGCAAACAAATTTCAATCTATATATATATATACAGATTTGATCCACTGCAGGAGTTTGGTGCATCGCCAAACACCAGGGCAGAATAGCATAAATCATAAAGAGCGACAAGGACCTGCTATATACGTAAAGGTTGATGCAGCAGGAGCCTAAGCATGGTTAAACCACAGCGAAAGCCTTGAATGACAAAAACAAATGAAACGGTATAGTCTGCAGAATGAATGGCTTCCACTCACTTGGAATGGAGAGCAGCTGGGACCCGTAGCATACCCAATAATTGGCCAGCTTCGGCGTTCTACTTCTGGATTCTTCATACCAAATCATTCAATGAAAGGTTCTGCGTTCTGTCACGTGTTCAGGGGATGTTCTGTAGATCGACAGTTCAAGCCCATAGATGTTCCGCAAAGTATGTGATTATATAAATGACCTTTTGAGCATGTTCGAGCCTTTTCCTTCATAAAGTTACGCGAAACGATAGCTGAAACTAAAACTTGCAAATCAGACCCTCGACCCAAGAATCTGCCCCTCAGACGGCAGGGGCGTTTTTCATTCCAGGTACTAAAATAAGGCACCCATCGGAAGTTCCAGGGTGTCAACTCAACAAGTCCACCAAGTCTTGCCTCAACCCGGGATGGAACCGCCCCGAGACTGAGCCACACGAGACCGAGCCACACGCGGCGAGCCACCATGGGCTCAGGGACCTTGGGACACTTTCGAGAAGCGAAAGCAGGAGTGCTGCACTTGGCACCAGGTGGGCGACGTGGATCTTTGCGGATCGCTCCAGAGGGCAAAATTGGCCGAAACGTCATGTTGACATTGTGACCATAGGATACAAATCTCAGTGCATGCCAGGCAAACCACTATATATAAGGAACAAGGTACAGTATTCTAGGTCTATGGTTTTAGTCTTTGGAACCTGCTTACCAGCCATAGTGGTAACTGGATACCCTGGGAATGATGCAATAGGGCAGAGTCAAACATCTCCACATGACCATCATGGGTGGTTCTTTAAGCGTTCATGAATCAGTCCGTCTACATTGGTAGCCAAGCCGCTTGGGTCCAGGTCCCAGCTCTTTGTCGCAAAGATCTCTTGCCGCCCTACTGTTGGGGCAAACCGCACTGGAGCGTGTGACTGGGCCCACGAATCAGGGAGACCAAAACCCGTGGGAAAGGAGCTACTAGTAGCGTCCTTGCTCCTAGTAGCGATGCCCTTTGTTACTAGTAGCTTCTTGTTCCTAGTAGTAAAGCCAGGAGCTACAGGCAGTGTCCTTGCTCCTAGTAAGGTGCCAATACACTCATATATCGGTTGGGAAATAAACACTTGGAGAGGTGCAGGTATAGACTCGTATGGGCGACCGTATCGGCTAGGTCGTGCAATGATTATTGTTCGTTCCTTGGATCCCTTGGAGGCAGAACATGATCTTACATTGAAACTTCGTCTTCTAATGGCCCATGTTGCGTAGTGCTGGTATTTGTGAGGTGATTGTTTAGATCACTGTATAGTATCGTGTTGATTCTAATTGATTCTGGACGGATGAAACCTGCACGATAGATCGTGCAGGGAAACTCTTTTGTGTGTGCCACCTTTCCAAGGGCAGCGCAGGAGTCGGTTCATCAGCCTGACTTGTTGATGTGTTGTGGACACCAAGCCTCCAGGTGCTGTTGCAAAGCTTGCAGTGAGCAACAGGGAGAACCTGAACAGAATAGTGGTATAGATCTAATAATTTTGCCAATAACCTGCAATAACACAACAATACACAACATATACTTGTTTGATGTTTCCCACCTTGGTGTGAGAGCTGTGGTACTTGCTTCATATAGCCTGCAGCCGTCCTGCCTGCCTAAGGAGACCGCCATGGATGTGGCGCTCCAGACGGGCGCAAAGGGCCTCGTGCGCGCGCTGGGGCAGATGGGATGCGAGATCTCGGATGATGGGCGCATTGGAGCCACTGGGCGCCACGTTACGTCACCGGCTGGGCGGTTTCGGCCCCAGTGAAACAGGGTCTCCAACATGGCAACAGGTCTCCAGGACATTGAACGTTCGTGGCTTTTGGAGATTGAACGTTCGTGGCAGGTAGGGACCCGTTGAGTCGGAGAATGCTGGTTGATGCCTGTGACACCCCTTGGTCGGTCGCTTGGGTGACCAAGCACGTGTTGGACGGCCGATGTGGACGAAGAGAAGCTTTAGTTGTCTTTGTTTTCTCCTTCGTCACCGTGTTTTCATTGTCAAGACTTGGAACAGAAAAGGTATGGGTATATTAGCATGATTTGGCATGTCAATGGGCTTTTGATCGGTTTTGGACAGCTATTTGTTCTATTTTTCGTTTCGAAGAACGACGCCACTCGTAGGGTCTTTGGTGACCCTCCCCGGTCACATACGCCACTCGTTCTTGCATTTTGTCCCATCGATGCCGTACTCTTGGAGCCTCGGTCACTGTCGTTGGTGTCGGTCACTGTCGGTGTGGAAGAAAGTGCATCAACTCCCGTTTGGTCCATATGGTTTGATGTGGTTTCAGCATCCTGCCATTAAGTGCTTTGGGTGGTATTTGGGTTTTCATGAAAGATGGGAACCCTAGATACCTGAACTCTCAGTACTTAGTTGTGAACCATCTGCTGGGTGGATCAGTAAGCAGCCACATCCTAAAAGTCAACGACTCAAACATCCATTGGTCCCAAGCCACACATGAACAGCGGCCCCCAAGAACTTGCCAACATATGTTTGCATCACAGAGACAATGAGCCCAAGAGGGAGTGAGACCAGTCCAATGCTCTCCCAAGACTCTCGACTCTTGGCACACAATCCGAGTCAGAATCAATTCAATGGGACAATGTGTGAGAGTGGATGTTTTCATATAATTTCATACACAATCCAGTGAATTGTGCAAATCAGGAAACCACTCAACAATTCACCTGGATCCAATAAGACTTGATGGCAACCAACCATTGAGTCTCCATGCAGTCAGGACCAGACAGTGGTGACATGATTTTACGTGCACCACAGGCACTGCTGAAACAAAAACTACAGGTGAACATGCTGAATATCGCATTGAAGCCAGTTCTGAACAGTGAAACACGTGTACAATGGGTAGATATATATTTACCCACATTCATTCACCCAGGCTTCCCCAGATTCTGCCAGTCCGGAGTCTTGACCTGTGTTGGCTCTTTAAGCTAGACCTTCTGACTGGGAACCCCAACAAGCACCGCACCAGGGGCCTCAGGCGCCCTAAACGTCGCTCTTCGTTCCAGTCGGTGCGAGCGATCGTTCATTCGGCGGGGTGAGGCAGAGAAGATGGTCCTGGAGCGGATTCTGCTTGGGGGTCAACCGCCCTGGCTCCACCGGGCGGTGCAAAGCTGGCACGGCTCCGAGAAGGCTCAGGAGACGGGGACCAAAAGCGAAACGCACCCAAAATGGGCGGAGGTGTTTTTCCATTCCACCGGGGGAGAGGTTCTCAAGTTTATGTGTATAGTATTTATACCAGCACCCTCCAACAGGTCACCACCTATATTATAAAACACAGTTGAGCGAATTAAGAGTTTTTGCAGCGTTGGGGGCCCATCGAGATCCTGACGATGAGTTCTGAAGCTGGTATTTTAAGCATAAAATATGCTTGATTTGGTGGGAACCCCTTTGTTTGTTGAATATTAAAAACTGTATAGTTTCTGAGAAAGAACACTTAAACAAAGCGGAACTCCACATGTCTTTTGTTTCGTGTTCGTGATTCTGGACACTACCCTTTGACAGATGGTCATGTCCCGCTTCTTTCGGTTCACATTGTGCATGCGTTCATCTGACTCCCCCGGTAGCTATATTCGTTAGGTCGACTGTCCTTTTTTTGGACCTTCGCTGACCGTGCGGAACTCTTAACTTTGACGGACCCATTTGCAGTTGGACCCATTTTTGCACCAGCTAGACTGAAGACTGCTCACAAATGTTCAGCCCCATTTCATACCGATGATCAGATCACAAAACGGACTCCTGTGGAGCCGGATCTGCAAACGCACAGTAAACACTTCTGCGTCTTTTTTGCAGCGTTGCACTCGGTCAGTGCAGGATGTGTCTGGTGATTTTCCACGGTCATCCACAGTCACGCGTGCATTCGCTTCTTTTCCACCAACACCGCTTGGTGCTTGGTGACATACCTGGGTTTAAGTGTCAAGTAATCTTCCCAACCGACACGATCGGGAGGTAGTTAACATGTACAGCAAACCATCTATATATAAGCTCCGAGTTCCACCATCACATGTCGCTTGAAGTTTCACGACCTTGGTTTTTGTTCGTCATTGTGGCCGAACAATTGCTGGTCAAATCGGCAGTTGTGTTGAGGGTCAAACCGACTTCCGCCGACTTCTGCCCCCGGCTCGGAAGTCCCGCAAGGACGGCATTGTGCTGGAAAACCCCGAAGAGATTCGGAACCATACGCAGAAGGCGGCCGACGTGCCGTGCCGTGCGGGCTCCTGTGATTGAAGTGGAGGTCCCTCCTTCGGACAAAACATCGACCATCCGAATCCCTACAGCTCCAAGCACCTCGCTATTTGGACCCTACGGACTGGACAACCTACCCCAGTCCCACAGAAACGAAACGAAGGTACGACTGGAGGTGTAGGGAATATAAACCTGATGGACAACAAATACTAATGGTTGAGTTCAAAGGTCCATCTTTTGATAGTGATGGAGAGGAAACATTCTCATCCAAACAAGGTGGCTGGAAAAAAAAAAACGACTGACAACAAACAACAACCAACAAAGATCATGTCAATGTCATTGTTCGTCTCCAAGGGCTATCTTGTAACCATCCAAGGAGTCCAAAGTTCTTGAGAGGGTCGCACAAACGAATGTCCACCGAGTGAGTTCTTTCAAACCTTTATTTCAAACGACTCCACTCGGAGCTCGGTATCGCTCGGTATCGCTCGGTGCTCAGTCACCGCACGCCACGCGGCTGAGTCGGTTCTGGAGGCGGATGTTTAGGATGCCGTCAGTCGATTTCTCATTGAAACAATAAGTCAGCAAGAAGCAACTGCATATTTTATCGCACTTTTTTTGGAGGTGCAATGACAAGTCATCTCTTTCGACACCACAAAACCTCCAACCAGTCGTGAAGCCGCTCATTGTAGCAACCAGTCGGAGTCCGAGTGAATGGAGTCGGACGACTGGTCGGATGACTCCACGAATAGTTGGTGCAAGCGATGAGATAGGAACAGGAAGCTACTAAGGGATTAAGGGCTCCCGGCCTTTCTACTAGGAACAAGAAGCTACTAGGGGCTCCTGGTGCAAGCGATAGGAAAGGTCTGACCAGTTTAAAAGAGTACCAGGCATTGGCACGTTCCAGAGTTGCTTTTTTTCTGCGAAGAAGGATGAACGAACATACGAAATCCATTGAAACTTATTCCCTTTCCCTGACTCCTTTCTGAACCACAATTGTGGATGAGAATTGGATTATGATCACCAGGTCTTTCACAAACTGCTTATCCATCACTCTTCATTGACGCTTAGGCAGCAAGCATTGGTATACCCCCTTCACAAAACATAGATGGCATTTTATCCGAATCACTTACTATGTTGCAAAACAATTGCCAGAAAGTAATGACTGATCCGACTTCGTCACCCAGTCCAGTCTCACCAAACTGAAACAAAGGTATGGCTGGAGCCCCAAGTTTATTGTCATATCCTCAGTTTCATTACATGTTCACAGTCCAGTATCCACAGGAGATAGGACATTGGAGCAGACCACAACCGGACTCAATCTGCCTGCTCAGCTGCTACATGCCATTTGACGCCAGGAAGTCTTTCAGCTGCAGATGGCCACTCGCCTCCCGTTGCCTGTTTGCGCCAAAATCTTGCGCCACTTCGGCCGGGCAGAGCTGGCCATTGCTGAGTGCTTTGGCACAGGAGAGCCATGGAGAGCCAAGGGAGAGCCACGGAGGGAGTGGCAATTCAGCTAGATGGAGTACCAACATGTACCAGCTATGGACCCAGAATCTGAGTATATCTGAATCTGTTTCTACAAAGACAAGGGGTTCACATTGTGGCTTTTAGGCAAGTCGTCAAGTAGTGAGCCAAGGTGTCACTTTTCTTGGAGCACTTGGGAGCATATCTGGGAACTGTTTCTATGCTGGCGATATGTTTCCTCGAGTTTGGAATGCTTGTCTCAATCAACTCAGAGCATTGTTGAGTGATGGTGGAAGCCCCTCGACAAGTCTAAGTGGACAATTCCTTTGAAGAAATTCGCCAATGCTGCCACAGACAGCATGCCATAGGCTTTGACTTGTCCATGTGCCCATATCTTTTCTATTTGTCCTGCGGGTATATATACTGTACATACAAAAAAGTGTTCAGTCATCAGGCGCTACGATCAGAACCCCCTTGACCAATGGGGATTATACACCATGTCAAAACATTTGGTGTCCTGGACAAAGGTCGGGACAGATCGCGCCCACAGCTTGGCACAACAGATTTGGGTGTGGCCAAGAATGGTTGAAGCGCCCTTTTTCGCCCATCGTAGATGTACCTCTTACAGCCTGTCCAGGTGTCTATAGTGCAAGTCTCTCAACATTCTCAACCTCTGAAGAATCCTTTGGACCTTTCCCGGTCTTTTGCTGCCCAAAATCAGATCTTTGGCACCTTGTGTTGTCTGCCTTTTGGCCGTCCTAGTAGGGAAATGAGCTCCTATTAGTAGTGATGCCCTTGTTACTAGATGTTACTCCCATAGACTCCATGTATGCCATATATGCCTACATTGACCCCCTGGCACCACCCCAACTGATCGGCATATATGGCAGTCCCATGGAGTCTATGGGACTAGTAGTAGCTTGGAAGCTACTACTAGTACCTCAGACCTCGTCCTGTTTTCGTCACACCGAGGTTCCATCGAGATCCTCAGGCCGTGCTCCGCTCCAACGGCGTTCCGAGCCTCGCGGGCGAAGCGAGGCGAGAAGACGGTGGAGTGTGTGGCCACTTGGGCAATGAATTGGGGCAACTGGGGCGGGAGTGGCCACTCGAACTGCACCGGAGGTGAGAAATTGAATACTCACGTACTGTACAAATACGTATCATGCAGTGATCATGCAGTGCTGAGAGTTGTCCAAAAACCATGCCAAGTCGTCATCCTCTTGCTCCCGTGCAGCTCGGTCATCCTTTGGTTCCTTGGTCCCTCAGCAATCACTTCCATCTGCCTTATTGTGTCCATGTTTTCGGTTGCTATTAGTTGGTTGTTTGTTTCGTTGGAGTCTCATCAGGATAAGCTTCCCTGCAGACATGTGCGACATAGCTTTGCTTTGGAAGCTTAGCTTTGGTTTGCGGGCTTGGTGTGGCTCCGCAAGTGCTGGTTATGTGTGACCTGGCCGGGCCGTGTGCCACTGTGGCGGCGTTCACCCTTTTTCGGCTCGTTGTGAACCATCCTGGAAGACTGCTGCGCCGCAAAGCTTACCCCTACGCCTCCAAGTACCTTCTGAGAAGGTTGGACTGGGATGGGCTTGGGTCTAAATACCTTTCGAGGAGTAGGGTACAAGTGATTTTGGTGCCTCTCTGCCAAGACTTGTGAGTTGGGCGCGTGAAAGGGCCTGTGTATGCTTCATCAAAACACTTCCCATGGACAAGGTGGAATGCAATAACATGTGAATGTAAATGTACATGTACATGAATGTATGTTAATGTGATTGCAATTTCATGTAGTGTGATGCATGCATGCATACATGTGTGACATAGGAGGTCTTTGGCTTTGGTGTTGGATGTTTCTCGTCTAACCAGTTGACGTTCAAGGATTGTTCAGGGTGCAAAGGGGTGCGATGATTGACAGCCCAGCTTGCCTTCAAGGAACGGATTTAAGCACACACTCTAGGTTGGCTGTCGTCCAAACCTTGTATGTAAGTGAAGCATGTTCTCATAAACTGTGTTGGGACACTTGGATGTAGAAACAGTAACGCAATAGAAAGAGAACATGTGGTCCATCCATTTGAGAACAGTCACTTTTCTATTGCTTCTGGACAGTATCCCGAGACAGGTGGTGGACATGGGGATACAACCTGTGATACTCAATGTTCCCAACCCCTAGCTTGGGTATCTGCACCTGTAAGCAAGGTGAAGGTAAGAAGACATGTTGCAGTGATTCTGTCCATTGGTACATCGTATCATAGCATTTCACTATATATATATATATTATATGTATGTATACATATCATGAAACCAGTAAAGCTCCGACAACTTCATGCCACAGCAATGCAATGCTCCAATGCCAGCCAAGCGCGCGAAAGACGTAGGAAACTCTTCCAAGGCATTTGCTTCGAGCCCAGTGGTGAGCTGCAGAAGTGGCTGCTTGGTGGCTTTCGTCAGCTCTGAGAACTTACAGCACTGCTTCCTTTGTTATTCATGTAATTTAATTTCCATATCTTATCTCAATGGCCAGGATAATTGGTTTTTCATGAATTACACACCAGATCGCACCAGCAAGTGCCAGATTTCCTCTCAGAGCTTCCAGAAATAATGGTTCTTTTCATGGCAAGTCGAAAGAGAGAAACAAAGAAGAATGACTCTCCGAACGCTTCCCGGAACGGCTCTCTGAACGGTACTGGCACCACTCCGGTCGTGTGAAGTTGGAAAGATGGGTCACGGACTGCGCAAGGAATGTCCTATGCTGTGGTAATGGGGTTCTTCCCTTATTCTCTAAGCACCAGCAAGACTTTGGAGATCAATCCGATGCAGCAAGACTTTGGAGATCAATCCCTTATTCTCTACAAATCAGCAGTAATTAAGATAGTTTTGGAGTGGAAACTCTTTGCCTCTGCTCCTTTCTACTTCGGTTGACGTTTTGTGCACGTCAACCGAGCTGACATCGAGAGGATCAACCCCCGTGGGAGGCGCGACTTGCCTTCGCTTGCCAGCCAAGGCTACCTTGCAGGGGGATCCATCCCTTCTGTGATGCTTGCCTTCGACACTACTTGCAGGGCTTGTTGGACAGTGGGAATGCACCTGGGCTGAGGGCTTAGGCTTAGGGCTTGGGCAACCTTTGGAACCTACACCACCTGCGGTAGTTGCTTTGCAGCGAGACTTGGGGGGTCTTCACCGGTGATTGTCTGTGAAAATAACCCAGACGCTCATGGACCCTGCTAAGTAGGGGCAGGACCCTCATATGGAGGGGTCCGGACCCTTAAATTTGTTTTTGAAGGGCCTTAGAGGGCTTTGAACGGAGCGTTTGGGAAGGTGAGCTGACCCATCCATTGAGGCTCAATCTGTCAATGGTCAGAAACTCATGTCACACTCACACCCCTTTGGACAACCATGGTCCATGGCCGTAAATAGGCTTCTTGACCACCCTTGACTTCTAGCGAATCAGACATGATCCGGTCCCCAATGATGCACTATGACCAGATGTATTTCTATCATGCAGTCATTGATTCCTATCAATTCCTCACTGATGGACTTGTTGGAGACTACCATGGACTACCAGGGACAATGTGTATCGAAGTTATACACCTGAGGCTCTTCCACCTCACAGGCTCACGCGACCTCCCTCCGCAGGTCAGCGGCATGGTGTGTCCGGAGCCCACGTGTCGGCTGCCACTGGACGACACCGCGGTGGCGGCGCTTCTGGGCACCTTGGAGCGTGGGTTTGGAGGCTGGCCGGCTGTGGACGCAGGAAGAGGTACCATTATGTATCATATCCCTACACCTCCAGTCGTACCTCCTCAGAAGGTATTTAGACCCTCCAAACCCATCCCAAACACCTTCTCAGAAGGTACTTGGAGGCGTAGGGAATGTGAAGATGTCATATGTTACATGGCTTATCATACATTTTACCCTATAGTACATGGTGTACCCTATTTACAATTACATGGATGGGGTATATGTATGAAGTTAGCTATTCCAGTGCTATGGATGCTTTGGGCTCCTACAGCTCATCATCAGTCAGAAGGCGGTGGAATCCTCGTCATGGATGTCGCACTCTGTGGATGACAAGGATCAACTTCCAAGCCAACGATGTGAAGAAAGAAGCAGCAAAAGCAACAGTTTCAACAGAATTCCCATTTGGGAGCCTGTCTTACAAATCTTACAAACAACATAAACGATCTAACAAATTTCTACACATACATTTAAATACAAAAAATAGATGACTGAATCCCTTTTTGAGGGCCCCACCCACTAATGGCGTCCTCCAGACTGCACCATGAAACGCAAAAAAATCACGAAGAAAAACGGGTCCCGCGTCACGGCCCCCTGAGGCCCGGTGGCACGAGAGAAGTTCGTGAAAATCTCTGCGGCCTTAGACGTCGCTGCACGACCGGGGCACATCGCATGGTGTCTTGGAAGGTTGTGGGTGAGCAGTGTACGAAAAGCCGGTGAGGGGAAGGTTGTGGGTGGAGAAGCAGCACTTAAGAACCTCTTCTTTTGTTCTAGGAGTCAGAAGTCGACTGGAAACACTCGTAGAACAGGCCAGAAGTTGAATGGGTGCAGAAGTTGACTGAAAAGAAGATCAAGGTTGAACGCTTTGTATATACACTCCTGGAATCAGAAAACCACTTGTTTGTAGAGGAAAATGAGCATCCAAGTGGCCATTCTAGGGAGTGTATTGGTTTCTTGTTGTCTCTACCACCTGCGGAGTTCTCTTGTGTGTGATGCCCCACTCGAGATTTTTGATTACAGTAATGCTTTCTCCCGATTCAACTCCTTCGCTTTCTCCCTATCAAAGGTCACGTTTCATCATCCGTCATCGACCCCAAAACAATCTTGAAGTGAATCGCTCCAAGGATGTTCGAAAGTTGTCTATATACCTTTTATTCGTGGGCCTTCATGGCCCTCAGGTACTGCATGGTCCTCCACTGAGACACTGGCCATCAGGTCATCCGTTTGCTAGTGACTCATTAGGGTCGGTATAGCCTGAGTGAGTCGTCGGTGGTGTTTTTACATGGCGTTTGACTGAGTCTTCTGCCCAAATTAAGCAATTCATTCGAGGGATGGTTAATCCAACCGATTTGGCGATTAGGGGGATTTTGTTGAATTGTAGGATTCCCTTAGAGCCCTGCCGAAACGATGTTAAGGCCGAGTATATTCAAGCTTTACAACATGATGTGATCGAAAACATCCGAGGATCCATTGATTGGCTCCCTTAGACCTTGAAGCTGGGAGTTCCTCTCGAATCCGCCCTCAGGTGTCCTCAGCCTGGTTGCGGCAAGGCCGTGGCACGCTCTGGGGGACTCACTGTAAGCCGCTCAGCGGCATGTTTCACGCAAACGCGCGGCCGCATGACGAGGTTTTGGAGAGAAGGGGAGGCTGTTTGAGGGTTGAGGCTTTGGAGTTCATTGTGTTTGTGAAGGTTTGGTCTCTTATTGATTTCCCTACTCTATAGGTGAAGCCAAGTCTGGGAAGAGATGAGATTCAGGGAGTGCGAAATGAATTCTTCTCAGGGCAAAGGTAGAGACACGTCGATCTGGGGCCTGTCACTAACCTCACACAGTGTGGACAACAGGAACAGCAAACTGAAGACCCCCAATGGATGTCAAACAGACCTTCAGGGGTCTTTCGTAATGTCGGATCTGGAACAGTCAACTCCCTTCCTTAGAAATAGCTCCCCCCCAAACGACCCTGGTCTCAATGCAAGGTGGTAGTGATGGTGATAGTAGTAGTAGTAGTAGTAGTAGTAGTAGTAGTAGTAGTAGTAGTAGTAGTAGTAGTAGTAGTAG